TAATATAAAAAAGATTAAGCTCCACCAAGGTGAGCTAAATAGGCCTAAATCACCAATCGGTAAGGTTTTATCTTTTCGATCTTTTATAATCTCAGAAGGTAAGTACGTGGATCTTCTTCTTCCTTGGAAAATTGGCAATATTTTTCCAAAGCACCATATATTGCACGTACTATCTTCTTTTTTAAAAAGAAAAAAAATCACATCACAAGAATAGTCTCAAAATATATTCACGTTACTCAGAAGCATCTTAATCATTAAAAATATAAACTTTTTGGAAATCAAGTTTTGATCAGGAGTTTATGTCAATTATTAATTGATCAGACTGTGACATATTATGCAAAATTAAATCATTGATGTGGAAGGGAAGGACCCTCGGAACGTGGAACTGTTCTTTCTATCCTCTTTTTATTTTTTTTTGGTGCAGGCTAAATTTTTTTAAGTAAAAGTTAAGAATTAAATTTTAAATTTGTAATTAAAAGAGTAAATAATTTTATTATTAAATTACATATTTATAGTAAAAGAGTAATGATAGAAAAAATATAAATTTAAAAGGAAAGTTTCAAATCAATGATATATGGATGTCATATCATTAAATTAATTGATACATATAATATTATGAATTAAAAAAATAAAAAATTAATTGTTAAATAATATAAATTTTTTTTAATATTTTAAATAATATAATTTATACTATATTATTAATATTAAATTTTCATCCCATTTTTCATTATTCTTGATAAAAAGTTGTCCAAGTCAAATAAGAAAGAAAAAAAATGTTTGGCTGATTAATTATCTTCATTATTTTTATTTTTAAAGTGAACAGAAAAATAATACTTGTTGAGCAAAAGTCAACGTAAGTGTTTATTTTAAATTTTAAAAAACAGTCATTAATTATTAATTTTATTTAAATAAATCATATATTTTAAATTATAAATAATAATAATTATTATTTATTATGTATTTATTATTAAATATTAACCGCATTCAATTAGCTAGTCTAAATTGCCCCAGTATCTATACGCTATATTTGGCTCCGCGAAAAGTTAATCTAACAAAAATTAGATAAAATAATAATGAGGTGCGAAAAGACACTCCAACATATTCTCCTTAAAAAAAAACGGTTTTTTTTAGATTTTTTTTTTAAATTTACCTAAAAATTTATCTTTTAATTAAATTTTTAGAAATTAATGATTAAATTAAAAGTTTTATTTATATAAAAAAATTATAAGTATTATATCAATATAAAAATTAATATATAATTTATATAAATAAAATTTTTAATATAATTATTAACTTTAAAAATATTAATAAAATTTAAAAAAAAAAAATAGAAAAAACGACTTACATTGCATTGTTATCTTAACAAAACATACTTGTAAAAACGCCAAAAATCTCATTTTTTTTATAGAAATTAATTATTTTGAATCTTCTTAAATACATGTCTATTGAAATGATATATTTTTAATGGACCTTGATGGGTGTGCACCCCCACATAAAAAAAAAAATTTGAACCGGGTGGTGATGGGTTTTTTTTTTTTTTAAATGGAGAGTGTACACACCCGGGTGTGCACAAATCATTTTTCATTTTTAATAGGTTTTTCATCTAATTCTTTCACGGGGGACTAATAAATATTTTTTAAAAAATAAAAGTAAAAATATTTAAATTAATATTGTAACTCTTTTTTGAACACCATGAAATTCCTTAAAACTTTAATTATAACATTTCGTTTAAAAGCCCAAATAATATAACATCAAGGAGGTAAATTGAGTTCAATTTTCCTCTACTTTTTAAACTCCCATTTTCTTTCTATAATATTTATTTAAATGAACCAAACACAGCATTATAATAATTTAGTTATACCTTAAGATTTTCTATTTTGATAATCTAAAAAATCAAGACACTCATTGGACGGATGCCAAATTTTAGTTGGTGGATTATTATTATTTATTTATTATTAAAATCTATTATCACTAAAAAAATAATTCAAATAAAAAATTAGCAAGAATAATCAAGATGCAAAAATGTTTAAAAACAACTCTACATAGAGAGGTGTTAGATATTTAATAAAACTTTGCATACAAAGATATTGAATAACTATGGAAACTTCTATGTGAAAACTTCTCATTTTTTTGCTTAGAATTCTTTAGTAGGAGTACTATTTTTTTCTTTAATCACTAGTCTCCAAACTTCTCTTAATTTCTTCAAAAATTTTCTATTTTATAATTTGAATTGTATCAAATAAAATAAAAATCAATAGATAAAAACAATTTCAATATGAAAAAACGTATTTTTATTTAATAAGTAAAATTGTATAATCTAAATTATATTGATACTTTTTTGTTTATCAAAACTCACATATGATGTTCACTACTTTATAATCCTCAATTTTTGAAACTTGTTTTTTCACAATTTCTTAAATATTTATCTATGTTTTTTTTTTTTTTTATTTCTCCCTTAATTAAAGATAATATCTAAAACTAAATTGCTTTTCACATTGATACAATCACAATTACAGTGTCACCTTTTCTTGGCCCCCACCCAAAGTACTCATACATTTTACTATAATCCTATCATTCCAACTACTAATTCACTTTCTTTTCATTTTTAATTATTGCCACAACCTAAGGTTTTGAAAACTTGTAATTCGACTTTCTTTCTTTCTTTTTCGACGTTTTGTAATTTTTTCAAATGACAAGTTAATGATTCTAGTGACATTCTCATACCCACTGCACCTGGCGTCATGTGAATATGACATCACATGCAACTAAAACACGCTATAGCAAGTTAATCAACATGAACCACACAGTCACGCACCATACGACATAGAGGCCGGCCTCAATTTTGACTTGAGAAGGTTAGTTTTAGGTTAAATATTAATTTTAGTTCCTTAATTTTAGAGTCTTGTGTAATTTTTATCTTTTAACTTTATAATGTATTTTTTGACCCCTTAATTAACTATAAAAAATGTAGTTTTTTTTGTTAGTTAATCTATTAAATTTGTTTAAATATATATATTTTTAGTCCCTCAACTTATAATATATATAGTTTTTGTTTTTTAATTTAAAAGTTTAAAAATAAAAAATATGTATATATGAACTGACTTAATGATTAGCAAACAAAAGGAATTAAAATGTGTATTTTTTATAATTAAAGAACCAAAAAAGTATATAAAAAAAATTAAAAGGTGAAAATTATATAAAACACTAAAGTTGAGTGATCAAAATTGATATTTAACCTTAATTTTTAGTCTGAAAACAAGGACTGGATTAAAGGAATAAATTAAAGGGATGAACCCATTGATCAAGGGGCTGTGGTATTTGCAGTAACCATAAGACAGATTGCAAAACACCCTTCTTAAACTAAAGTTACAAGACTGAAAATGGAAAATCTTTGATTTTTTTCTTTTTCTTTTGTGTGTGATATAATATAAGTATGAAAAAAAGTATTTTATAGAACAAATTGCATATTAAAAGTGTAATTTTATTTAAGAATTTATTATAATAACCTCATAATATGATCGGGTTAAGGGGGGAAGAAAAAAAATTTTTTTTTATTTATCAAAAGAAATGAAGGGAAAGGGAGGATAAAATTTTCTTTTACTTTAATTTTTTTAAATTTATTTAGTTATTTAAATGATGAGAAAGGAGGAAAATAGAATAATATAATTCCTCTCTTTTCTATTTCCTTTAATATAAATATATGGTTAATAAAATAATATAAAAAAATAATTAATTAAAAATATTTTAATAAATTTATAAATTGAATTGCATTTGTTGTCTGAAGCATATTTATTTTATTGAAAGGGCCGGGCCAATTTTGCGTTATAAGCCAAAAAAGGGCCGGGCCAACAAAAGCAAGGGCATTAGGGCACTATTATCTGAAAATTCTCACCTCTCCTACTTTCCTTATCCATCACCAGCACCACCGAATCCCCAAAATACAAGTACACAGTGCATACGAATTCGTGAAAGTATTCAGTCAAAATCCAACAATGGAAACTTCAGGTGATCTTCTATTATTCCCTTTTCTTGCTTTTTTTTTTTTTTTTTCTTCACTCTCCATTCCTTAGTTTTCTTGGCAATTTATCTGATATTTGTTTTTCGAACAAGAAGTTCATCACCATACCCAGTTTTTTCTTAGCAATTTTTCTCTTTTGTGCTTTTTGTAGAAGTGAAATCTCTAAAAAAGGGTATCAATGAATTGCCCGATGAGGTTCTCTTGCAAATTATCTCCTTGCTTCCCATGAAAGAAGCTGTTCGAACCTCTGTTTTGTCAACAAGGTGGAGGTATCTTTATGCTTCAAATTCCTAATCTTGACTTCGATTTCGGTGCACTGCCGATGGTGAATCAGTTTAATTTCCTGGGTTTTGTGGATAGATTATTCTTTTTACGTGGCAATCAATACCTAACTTCTTTTCACCTATATTGTGATGTTAACATTTTTTTTAAGTGACAACAACTACAATCCTGGCCCTTAATTAATTAATTACCATCAAATTAAATAAATAAATAAATAAATAAAACTACAATCCTGGCCTTAGAACTGAAACAATATATGGTTTGTGAAGCAAAAAATAAAAGGTTCTTAACGGGATGGAATGAATGGTTGATTCACATTTTTAATTTTGTTTGTATTGTACTCCCACCAAGCTGGTTAAGTGTAGACCCTTCAATATTTGTAACCTCTATTATATATTCAACGTACCGAGTTGAATTACGCAACACACATGAGGACATTATGTTGTCACTCTCTAATTTCTTAAATCAATTCCTATTGCCAAACGCAATTCTTGTCAAAAAGAAGATTCGAATAGAGGGTTTGCTGGTTGACTGGTAGGTTTCGTTACACTAGGGTCTTTGGATAAACACTAAAAAATGTTCAGGCAAATATGCTGAATTTTTTAATTGTTTTTTTTTTTAGATCCCCTATAAATATTAGGACAAAACCACACTGAATTTCTGAAGCTTAGAGCAACGATCCTAAGAAATGAAACCAGTTTTCTCAAAATCACTAACCAAAACAGATGTCAAGAAGAGGCTGGCGGTGCCGATGACGAGCCTTTCATCCCTGCCGGATTTCAAAGAAGGGCACACGGTGGATTTACGCGTTAGGGATGCGTCAGGGCAAGGAAAAGTCTGGAAATTCAAATGCTCTGTCCGCAAGAAAAATCACCCCAAACCAGTTTTCTGCTCTGGATGGCTTGATTTTGTTCGTTTCAAGGATCTGCAGGTTGGTGATCAAATCAAGTTTTACAAGGACATGGATGATGCTCCCGGAGCTAATTCTTACAAGATTGAAGTGAAGAAAGCTGTGAGGATTTTCGGGGTAGTTTTTGGTTACGTAGAGGAGGCCTAGATTAATCAGTAAGTGCTGAACCCTTTTTTATTTCTTCCTTCTTCTTCTTTTTTATTTTCCTGATCGGATGAACATGCCGGAACGTTGACTGGGGGCGGTTTTTAGCTTTTCCGGTCAAGTTTTCTTTTTGTATGGTTATTGTGCAAGTGTGCTTAGTTGTATTAAAAGAAACAAAAAAAAAAAAAAAAGAAATAAATACGAGTAAAGTTTAGTCTTTTCGATCTTTTTATATCTCAGAAAGGAACTCCATATATTTTCTTCTTTCTTTCTTTCTTTCTTTTTGGTCTTTGGAAAATGGCAACATTTTTTCAAAGCACCAAATATTGTACGTAGATCACATAACAAGAACAGTCTCAAAATATATTTACGTTACTCATAAACATCTTAATCATTAAAAAAAAGTAAACTTTTGATCAGGAGTTTATGTTGATTATTAATTAATCACAGACTAAAATAGTATAACATTATTCGGCAAAGAAAAAAGAAGAAAAAGACCGTGAGAGTTACACAAAATTAAATCATTGACGAGGAAGAGAAGGATCCATCAGAATGTGGAGCTGTTCTTTCTATCCTTTGTCGCTTTTTGTTGCAGGTCAAATTGAAAGAAAAAAATAAATAAAAAAAGACGGTTTCGTTAATACCGATGGAGGTTACAGAAAAATAAATGCTTGTGGAGCAAAAGTCAATGTGAGTGTTTGTTTTAAAGCGAACTTTAACAATATAAAATACATATTTTAAATTATAAATAATAATTATTATTAATTAATTAATATTAATTACATTAAAATAAGAATG